GACTAAAGTCTTGTATTGAAACAATTTGGCTGCTAGATGCTTTAATTATGTATGACAGCAACAAGCAGTGCTTCGCTCTAAATGCCATCAGGGAATAAAGCAAAGGAGAAAACCAGTCTATTGTATAACTCTATGGCACGGACCCTGAAAGGGTCCATGCTGTAGATCTACGGCTTTACATTGAGGGTCCAAACCGTAGATCTAAGCCATGAGCTCAGCTCACTCTGAAAAGCTGTGAGAAGTAAATTTGGGCCTAGATATGAGAGAATACATCTATGTGGTATGTGTGCACCACATAAAACAAATCCTGCAGCACACACTGCAAAATGAGAGAAAAAACGTAGACCATAATTTTCGATTAAAACAGCGACTTTGCATTGTTTTTTGTATGTTTTTTATGGTTGTATTTGTGATTTCTTCGTCTCATTTGATAGAATGGAAGATATATTACAGAAATAGACTTGACTTTGATTGGTTTTAGTATTGGAAATGGTTTGAAATTGAGCTCAAATTAGTAAAAATGTTAAAGTTTTGCCAATGTTCAAGAGTAAACAAATGACCTCACATGTCTAATACACGCCAGCTGGTGGGTCTGATATACGTTCACAAATGTGGTGGTATTATTTGTACAATTATTACAATATTGCATAACAGTAAATCTTCTATTTTTTGGTTTGAATAAAAATTAATTATTATTATTATTTTATTTTTTTTTTTTTTTTTTTATCATCACACTGGCCGATTCCCACCAAGGCAGGGTGGCCCGAAAAAGAAAAACTTTCACCATCATTCACTCCATCACTGTCTTGCCAGAAGGGTGCTTTACACTACAGTTTTTAAACTGCAACATTAACACCCCTCCTTCAGAGTGCAGGCACTGTACTTCCCATCTCCAGGACTCAAGTCCGGCCTGCCGGTTTCCCTGAACCCCTTCATAAATGTTACTTTGCTCACACTCCAACAGCACGTCAAGTATTAAAAACCATTTGTCTCCATTCACTCCTATCAAACACGCTCACGCATGCCTGCTGGAAGTCCAAGCCCCTCGCACACAAAACCTCCTTTACCCCGTCCCTCCAACCCTTCCTAGGCCAACCTCTACCCCGCCTTCCTTCCACTACAGACTGATACACTCTTGAAGTTATTCTGTTTCGCTCCATTCTCTCCACATGTCCGAACCACCTCAACAACCCTTCCTCAGCCCTCTGGACAACAGTTTTGGTAATCCCGCACCTCCTAACTTCCAAACTACGAATTCTCTGCATTATATTCACACCACACATTGCTCTCAGACATGACATCTCCACTGCCTCCAGCCTTCTCCTCGCTGCAACATTCATCACCCATGCTTCACACCCATATAAGTGCGTTGGTAAAACTATACTCTCATTCCCCTCTTTGCCTCCAAGGACAAAGTTCTTTGTCTCCACAGACTCCTAAGTGCACCACTCACCCTTTTCCCCTCATCAATTCTATGATTCACCTCATCTTTCATAGACCCATCCGCTGACACGTCCACTCCCAAATATCTGAAGACATTCACCTCCTCCATACTCTCTCCCTCCAATCTGATATCCAAACTTTCATCACCTAATATTTTTGTTATCCTCATAACCTTACTCTTTCCTGTATTCACTTTCAATTTTCTTCTTTTGCACACCCTACCAAAATTCATCCACCAATCTCTGCAACTTCTCTTCAGAATCTCCCAAGAGCACAGTGTCATCAGCAAAGAGCAACTGTGACAACTCCCACTTTATGTGTGATTCTTTATCTTTTAACTCCACGCCTCTTGTCAAGACCCTCGCATTTACTTCTCTTACAACCCCATCTATAAATATATTAAACAACCACGGTGACATCACACATCCTTGTCTAAGGCCTACTTTTACTGGGAAATAATTTCCCTCTTTCCTACATACTCTAACTTGAGCCTCACTATCCTCGTAAAAACTCTTCACTGCTTTCAGTAACCTACCTCCTACTCCATACACCTGCAACATCTGCCACATTGCCCCCCTATCCACCCTGTCATACGCCTTTTCCAAATCCATAAATGCCACAAAAACCTCTTTAGCCTTATCTAAATACTGTTCACTTATATGTTTCACTGCAAACACCTGGTCCACACACCCCCTACCTTTCCTAAAGCCTCCTTGTTCATCTGCTATCCTATTCTCCGTCTTACTCTTAATTCTTTCAATAATAACTCTACCATACACTTTGCCAGGTATACTCAACAGACTTATCCCCCTATAATTTTTGCACTCTCTTTTATCCCCTTTGCCTTTATACAAAGGAACTATGCATGCTCTCTGCCCATCCCTAGGTACCTTACCCTCTTCCATACATTTATTAAATAATTGCACCAACCACTCCAAAACTATATCCCCACCTGCTTTTAACATTTCTATCTTTATCCCATCAATCCCGGCTGCCTTACCCCCTTTCATTTTACCTACTGCCTCACGAACTTCCCCCACACTCACAACTGGCTCTTCCTCACTCCTACAAGATGTTGTTCCTCCTTGCCCTATACCCGAAATCACAGCTTCTCTATCTTCATCAACATTTAACAATTCCTCAAAATATTCCTCCATCTTCCCAATACCTCCAACTTTCCATTTAATAACTCTCCTCTCCTATTTTTAACTGACAAATCCATTTGTTCTCTAGGCTTTCTTAACTTCTTAATCTCACTCCAAAACTTTTTCTTATTTCCAACAAAATTTGTTGATAACATCTCACCCACTCTCTCATTTGCTCTCTTTTTACATTGCTTCACCACTCTCTTAACCTCTCTCTTTTTCTCCATATACTCTTCCCTCCTTGCATCGCTTCTACTTTGTAAAAACTTCTCATATGCTAACTTTTTCTCCCTTACTACTCTCTTCACATCATCATTCCACGAATCGCTCTTCTTCCCTCCCGCACCCACTTTCCTGTAACCACAAACTTCTGCTGAACACTCTAACGCTACATTTTTAAACCTACCCCATACCTCTTCGATCCCATTGCCTATGCTCTCATTAGCCCATCTATCCTCCAGTAGCTGTTTATATCTTACCCTAACTGCCTCCTCTTTTAGTTTATAAACCTTCACCTCTCTCTTCCCTGATGCTTCTATTCTCCTTGTATCCCATCTACCTTTTACTCTCAGTGTAGCTACAACTAGAAAGTGATCTGATATATCTGTGGCCCCTCTATAAACATGTACATCCTGAAGTCTACTCAACAGTCTTTTATCTACCAATACATAATCCAACAAACTACTGTCATTTCACCCTACATCATATCTTGTATACTTATTTATCCTCTTTTTCTTAAAATATGTATTACCTATAACTAAACCCTTTTCTATACAAAGTTCAATCAAAGGGCTCCCATTATCATTTACACCTGGCACCCCAAACTTACCTACCACACCCTCTAAAAGTTTCTCCTACTTTAGCATTCAGGTCCCCTACCACAATTACTCTCACTTGGTTCAAAGGCTCCTATACATTCACTTAACATCTCCCAAAATCTCTCTCTCTCCTCTGCATTCCTCTCTTCTCCAGGTGCATACACGCTTATTATGACCCACTTCTCGCATCCAACCTTTACTTTAATCCACATAATTCTTGAATTTACACATTCATATTCTCTTTTCTCCTTCCATAACTGATCATTCAACATTACTGCTATCCCTTCCTTTGCTCTAACTCTCTCAGATACTCCAGATTTAATCCCATTTATTTCCCCCCACCGAAACTCCCCTACCCCCTTCAGCTTTGTTTCGCTTAGGGCCAGGACATCCAACTTCTTTTCATTCATAACATCAGCAATCATCTGTTTCTTGTCATCCGCACTACATCCACGCACATTTAAGCATCCCAGTTTTATAAAGTTTTTCTTCTCTTTTTTAGTAAATGTCTACAGGAGAAGGGGTTACTAGCCCATTGCTCCTGGTATTTTAGTCGCCTCATACGACACGCATGGTTTACGGAGGAAAGATTCTTTTCCACTTCCCCATGGACAATAGAAGAAATAAAGAGGAACAAGACTATTTAGAAAAAGGAGAAAAACCTAGATGTATGTATATATATATGCACGTGCGTGTCTGTGAAGTGTGACCAAAGTGTAAGTAGGAGTAGTAAGATATCCCTGTTATCTAGCGTGTTTATGAGACAGAAAAAGAAACCAGCAATCCTACCATCATGCAAAACAGTTACAGGTTTCTGTTTCACAGTCATCTGGCAGGACGGTAGTACTTCCCTGGGTGGTTGCTGTCTACCAATGTCTACCTATGTGAATAAAAAATCAAAATGGAATTCATTTGTAAAGCCCGAAAACGTAACTAATGAACAGAGGAAATGTTAGTTTAGTGCCAGGAATGCCTGCATTGTTTATTCTGCACCCTATTTTGAAATTGGAATATTTTGAACTTGCACTAAATTGGCCAAATTACCAATTTCCAATCACATTATTTCGTAGTTGAAACAGTTGATTTGGTGATTTCTTGTGCTCAGTCGATAGAATAGAAGTACATAATACTGCTGAAATAACTAAGAATTTGGTCGACTGGAATAATGTAATTGGCCTAAAATGGGAGTCAAAGTCGGCAAAATTGCCGATGCATAAATATCGCTGACACATCAAAATTAGCAAGAGCACAATTTCATCAGTTTTCCACCAAATTTCATACTTTTTGTTTTACTGTATTACCTTTAGAAAAAGATTCTCTACCATTTCATAAGAAAAAATAACAAAATTATTTTTTGAAAATTCTTGGACGCTGGTGCACACTTTGAAATTTGGCCTCTGGACCCTGAAAGGATTAAGGATAGCTAAACCAGCTGAGTGTTATATCTCAGATGAACATTCCTGATTATTAAGAGTGGGCTTCTGTAGTCATTAAAACAACTTTCATTCACAATCACAATGTCCATTTTGAATATATACCAATGCAAGCTGCACTGTATAATCAGAAATATGCATAATCTTTGTTTTTACAGGTGTAGGTGTGAAGTGCTCACTCAAGGCCTGTGACCTCTGAAGGCAAGTTGTGTGCTCTTGATGAAATATTGAGTATTTGTGTATGAGACCATGCCTGCTGGTCCTTGAAAGATTCATGTCAAGGTTTGGGGTAAACTTTGTTGACCCGAAGCTGTTTAGTTGTGTCCAGGGTTTGTGGTCAACAGCAGCGATGTTCCCATTATGACCAGACAAATTGTGGCAGCAAGTTCTTTGGTAAGTGATAAAATGTTTTATTATTTATTATGTGACAAATATGACTTGGTTGAATAGTATACAAAGTGTCTTGATATTGTAGCTTTGCTGTATTGTATGTGTAGTACCTAAAACCTCCATCATGTAATAAAGATTGGGAATTTTCAGGTTTTTGCTGTGTTGCCATACCGTCCAGTTCCCAGCCTTAGTCTTGGAGCCCAGTATGCCATGGCGCAGAGGAGTCGTCGCCAAATATATGAAACTGCCTTTGACAGCAAGGTAAGTTGTAGTTAATGAAATATACATTACAGAGGATCATTTTTATTCATTACTATATGTCCATAATATTTTTAGTTACTGTATGCAAGATTGCTATTCTAACTTAGCTGCTTTTTGACCTGTTCTACATAGTGAATACAAATTTTTATACTCTGAAGACTATGTGTTGTCATAATCATTTGATGCCATTATTGTGTGTCATTTCACACCATAATCTTTCTCTGAGTAGTTTAATTCATTGCTTTAAAATCTTCCATTTCTAAGCTTATAAAAAAGTTACTCTTACTATTGTGGACATTGAAAGTAACATGCATATATTCTATTAAAGCGAAGTTGTTAGGATTTATAACTTCATGTTATTCACTCAGTGGTCGTACTTGTATGCAAGTCTAGTGGTACAGTATCATATTGTTCTATAGCATCATTTCTTAACTTGCAGTTGATGTGGGAGACAACTCAGTCCCAATCATTGTTTATTTGGCTTATTTTACTTTTTTTATTATTGTATTAAATCTTCTTTGTTATGACTCACAAAATTGTAATGACACGATTGCAAACAAACCATATCACGGGCGGGGTATGGTTTGCTTCTTTGTTATCACTTACAGTTTTTATTCTGTTGTTCAGTATTCTTTTTTGTACATGTTTATCATACTGTGGTAGACTATCACAGTTTATAATAAATTTGTCATGGCTCTCCAGTATTTGTAAAGGCTCTAATTAATAAAATCCTATATTAGACCAGAGCACCTGAAGATTCCTGGTCTTTTGCAGTAGTGTTGAGGTTTGGTAATCTACAGTTTAGGTTGGGTTTGGTTTGGAATGCAGTTAATCAACCAAATCTAATTGGTGGCAAATCTATAGGTGAAGTAAGCTGGTAGGGTTAATCATCAGGTGAACACTGGGTGAAGGATGGGGAAAAATCTTCAGGCAGTCTGTAAAACCAAAGTGAAAAATGTATCTACATATATTTGATATTTATGCTACCTACTGTATCTAAAGCAAAGTCCATGCCTGACCATCTTTAATCAATTGTATTTTGATAATTAGAAAAATGGTACAAATAGCAATTTATAAAAGATTATGTTGCTTAATACAGTCTGTGATGTTTCTAGTAGACAGGGTTATAAGTGAGTGGAAAATTGCCGAATTTTATGAACATATAAATAAGTCATCACTCGTCAAACATTTCATACTTAAATAACCGATACTGTTGAAATTGATAGAGTTCCTTCATGCTAATCAAGTACTATAGCTAGAAAGTAATTTCTAGTACTACCAGTATCATGCCCAGTGAACATTTGTGAAGTACCATGCAGGCATGGTACTTCAGACTTCTAGGAGTTTAGTCCAGATGACTGGTTTCCCTAAATCCCTTTATACATGTTTCTTTGCTCCCACTCCTATAGCACGTCAAGCCATAAAAACCATTTGTCTTCATTCACTTCACTTTAATGTGCTCACACAAGCCTATTGGATATTTCAGCCCCTGGCACCCAGAATCTTCTTTGCCATTTCCCTCCATGAAAAAATTAACAATACAAAACTGTGTTTTCGCATGGCTTTATGTAGGTTAGAAACTAAATACAGTGTATTATAATTTAGTTATAAACCTGAGTGTTTAAAAGATCATAAAATCCTTGGAGAGTACTTCATACATTGTAAGGATGATGTGCTTGCACTTTATTAACTCATAGTTCATGTCTATATGCTATTTGTCTAACTAACGTACTTGAGTTCACATTGTATTTTTAGTTTATTTGTTTTTGGCGTTTAATACAGCCAGACTGTGAAGACAAAATGTTGCATATGGGAATGGTGTGAAGGTTGTTCGCTGGGATGATTGAAAATGACCCTGAAGAGAGTTTTCTTAATTTATATAATGATTTGTTTATTTTGTGTATGTAATTTATGTATTTATCAATATTTTACTAATATCTTATAATTATTACATAGGATACAGCACAAGGCACCTTAAAAAGAAGAATTATCTTTATTTATGACTACACTGATTTGGCAACAAGTATTTTTGATATGCTGGGTGTAGTATTGAGTTAACTAGTTTAGTAAAACTCCATTCTGTTCAGTGATAACTTTATTTTTCTATTTTATTTTTTATTTTATAGAAAAAGTGACATGCCACACCTTGTATATTAATGCTTTCACTGTCACTCATACAGATCTAGGTGGCTGGAGTCAGTGTCACTTACATAGATAAATGAGAATCAAAGTTCCATGAGATTTGCTGAGTGGCAAATTTTGGCTTAAACATTAAAGAATGGGACAGTGTGGTGGGTGTGTGCAGTTGTGCAGTAAAAAAAAGAAATCCTATCCTACACAGTGCATAATGGAAACTGGTAGCCTTTGACCATATGTTTGGGATAAAATAGCTATTTTGGGGCATTTTCTAGGGAAATTTTAATGGTTTTATTGGCTATTTCTTGATGTCATTGAGTAAACCCAAAAAAATAATAGTGACATTTGGTCAAAGAGACATTCGGATGTGTGCTGGTAATCCTTTATTCAGATACAACATAATGATTGCTCCTAGCTGCAAAGAAATAAAATACACAAATTAGGATGCACAACATGACACTGTAAATATGCATTGTACCTCCTAGTCCTAATATATCATTAACTGTGCACGGTACGGACGGAAATTTATAGTGGGCGTGCAGTGCCCCTCCCTGCATAACACGTAACTATTAACTTACATATTAGGGAGGTAATACGTGTGCTGTCTGCCTCACGCTCTCTTTATTTACACTCGTGTTTCTCCACCTCACCTACAGGCAGCGCATGGGCGCTGCCAGCCCGCCGTATTTGACTCACTCTGTATCACCACATATTCATCCCACAACATTGAGAAGATTTTGGTCAGTTTCAGAATGGAAGTGCCCTGAGATAGGCCCCAAATTGGCAGAAATGATCGATTTTTGGTTATTTTTGTGGAAACTGACCAGGAATTTGGGTGGTTTAAACACAAAGTGGCGCAAAATAGTCCTCTGATTTCCAGGTTTTTGCCTACATACAGTAATTCCATAAGTATTACATCAAATTTTGCATCTTTGGTATCATTTACCTTTAGAGCAAGATTCTTCACCATTTTAAAAGATAATTTTTTGTTTTAAATTGCAACACAACAGGCTTTTAATTTTTGGGGATGTCAACAGTAAAAGGGTTAAAGATCTTTATGATAGATAATTAATGCAACACAACTAATAGGACAAGTGCTTAAATACTTTTGGCATGCTTCTTGTAACTTTATTGAGCTTTAATTTTTTGGTAATCATAGCAAACAGTGGCTTTAAGTTAAGTTTGTTGTCTAAGGTTCCCAATCACTAAATATCAAGAGATAAACATAACTAACCTTGCTTCAGCCTTCGTCGTGCTTCCGGCAGGTGGAGAAGAAAAACGAGGATGGAGGGGACCTGATAGATCGCATCGCCAACCACCCTATCCTACAGCTTTTGAATCTGCGGAGGCGTTCACGGCAAAGTGGAAACAGTGGTGGAAATGGTTGTTTCAGAGCCAGGACTCTTCCAGGCAATGCTATTGTGGCTTCTACCTCTTCTGATCCTAAGTTCCAGGTAATGTCTTGTTGTCTGTGCAGTAGCATTTGGAAAATGAAATAGTTTGTAGATGAATTAATAATATGGGCAGTATCATATAATTATACTAGTTTTGTAGTACGTACTTATATATTGAAGGGCACATTAGCAAGTCCTAGTAAATAACTTTCAAAATACTTCAGAAATGATATATTGTTTGGCTTCAATCAATTTTGGAAGCTTCAGTTTAGAAATGGACGGCTTTTGACAAGCGACTTTCATATTTTATTGTGCAGTAATCTTTATGCTTTAATTGACATATATGTATAATGTATTTCTTTCTGTGATTGGTAAAACGTAACTAAGTTTAGTGCAACCTTATGGGCATTCTTCTTAACTTTGGTTTTCTTAAACACTTACGAGATGCTCTTTATTTTTGGATTATATAAGAGTATTGTTACTTGTTACAGGCAGTGTATTAGTCACTGCTTGACTTAAAAAAGATTTGTAAGTCTAAAGTTGTGCTAACTTGAGTGTTTAAAATATCTCTATCTGCACACAAGGCTCTTGAATATTTCACATATTTTTCAGGTTGGTGTGTATACTCCGAAAGGTGGTCGTCGCGATCGAGGTCGTGGCATAGCACCTCGCCCTGCACGCAGTGTATCCACTCATTACATAACCGAGCACCGTGTCCGCCCTATTGGATTATCAAAGAGTGATGATGAAATTCTTAATCGTGGGTCTGATTCCTTGGATGAAGATGACTACATTGAGGATTACATAGAAGGTCAGAATGCTAAAGAACTCTCTGCAGACTTGAATACCCTTCATATGCAGAGTGATGATTATTTTAAAGAAACAGAGAAGGAGAAAAAAAGTTCAAAAAAGAAGAAAAGCAAGTTAAAAGAGCGAGCAGAGCTTAGTAAATCTCAGGCCATCCCTGCTAAACTGCCTTTACGACCCTTAGATTTGCGAAGTCCTCCTGGCACAGCACCATTGCCCATTAAATTCTGCAAAAAAACTCCCATTGCAGATAAAAGTCCCTCCAGTTGGTTTAGTCCCCCAAGACAAAAGGATCTGACCCTCCCTATAAAGAAAAGCCTAAGTAAAGAACTACTGGGATTGAGTAGAAATACACCACCTTGTGAGAGTCACAGCAGCCTCAATGCCTCCATGGAGGTGCTTCTTGATATTTCTTCTCAGAGGGATATAAAATCATGTTTTATGCCCCCTGGAGTGAACGTGAAGTACTCCAGCATTGAAAGTGTCGTGACGGGAAGTACCATGTCTAGTCTTGAGAGTTTACGTAGCTCCATGAGTGACGGTAGCAAGAGCACGGCGAGCAATGAGTCGGCAATGAGTAGTTACAAGAGTTCGTCCTTAGGGAGTGATTCCTCCCTCCTATCCCGTCCTGCCCTCAACCTCAGTGCTCCCCACCGGTCACTTATCCAGTCCGCAAAGTTTCAGATTCTCTCGCCAATTTCTGATAAGTCCCAGGAACCATCATCTGAAAATGGATGCCTTTCCCAGAAAAGTTCTCCGCAAGATTTGGTAGAATTACACTCAGCTATGTCACGTCAGAAGACTCCTTTGCAACCCAGGAATATCCAAGATGATTTCCGCAACTTTCACCACATTCTTCCTGGCCCTCCCAGAGAAGGAGATGTTCAGGGATCAGATAGTGGTATTAGTATTGAGTATGGTCTTCACATAAACAGAAAGCACGAAGCTCCTTATAGTGACTTACCCTTTGACATGCCAAAACTTCGTCGACGATTGGCTGCAGCAAAGATTGGAAAGACAAGTTTGTCGAGCAGCAACTCTTCAATCTCTTCCAGTGGTGCCACAAGCGAAGGAAACCCACGACTAAGTCTTCCTCCAAACTTCCAACCCACAGTCAACCCTGCTGTCTCCAGATTACAAGTATATGTGCATTAATAACATTATGGATTTATTAGCCCCTCTAAAATTTATAGATACTGTACTGTTGTCCCTACAAATTTGTAGGTCTTTGTATTTGCAGATTTTAATTATCCATTGTTTTAATTGAAAGCAATCAATGAATAGATTCAGTAGTCCATGATTTTGCTGCTGAATGGCTTTCCCATGCTCAAATCTTTCTTTATTGAGGCCATAATTTCCTACAAATGTTAATAGTATTAACCAGATTTATTTTTTTTAACACAGTTGGCCATTTCCCACCAAGGCAGGCTGACCCAAAAAGAAAGAAAAACTTTCATCATCATTCAACACTTTCATCATCACTCATAATCACTATCTTTGCAGAGGCACTCAGATATGACAATTTAGACGTCCCTCCAAACTGCCAATGGGGATGGATATGGAACGACCCTTAACCTGCCTCCCTTCCCCTACAGATTTAAACAGTCTCCAAGTCATTCTACACTCACCATCTGACTTATGACGTGTGCGACATACGACCACTCGACTTAGCACTGTGCATCTAGCAGCAGATCCTTTATTGGCAACGTTTCACCCACACAAGTAGAAGTAGTTGTAGTAGTTATACATGTGGTGGAAAAGTCAGCTGGTACATGAGAAAGAAAGGTTACAAAAGCTATGGCTTGGGTAGCATAAAAAATAGGTTGGGCAAGTGTATATGGATGGATGGATTTGAAAAGGCATGTTTCAGTGTCCCTTCTAATTACATATGAAAGGAGGAACACTGCAGCAGGTCTGTTGGCTCAAACTGAGTATGTCCTTTATGTAGTAGCAATTATGTGATGGCAGGGTTTACTGTTTTCAGGAGGATTCTCCCTAAGACTTCAGAGATGATGAAAATGGCTTCGTTTTGTTTGTGTTAGAAATGGTGATTAATGCTGAAGAAGTGTGTGAGATCATTTTTATTTGTAGGTTTTTGGTAAACTTGAAATCTTAGATTGTTATCTACTTTGTGAATGAGGACCTCTAGAAAAGGTAGCTTGTCATTGGACTCTTCTTCAGCATTAATCGCTGTTTCTAACACAATTAAACAAAAGGAAGGCAGCTTCATCATCTCTGAAGTCTTAGTGAGAATCCTCCTGAAAACAGTAAACCCTGCCATCACATAATTGCTTTGGCAGGCTGGGTGGGTGGCTGGCTGGCCTGGTGGCTGATTGACTTTGGTTGTCTCTATCTCCATCTGTATCTATCTGTGTGTCTCTGTATCTGCCTATCTCTGTCTCTGTCTCTATCTCACAGATACACATAAATAATTTACATAGTGTAAATTACCTAGGATAACCCCAAAAATCCAGACAAAGTGCTATACTGTGCTTGTAGATATAAGGCATAATAAGCATGACTGGCAAGTAATACGCATTTTCATTTGTTCAGGAATCAGACGTGATGACGCTGATTCTGTTGGTTCTGAGACAGAAAGAGAGACGAGCAGACATACAGACAGACATACAGACAGACATACAGGCAGACAGAAAGACAGATAAGCAGAAACAGATAAAGAGACAGAGCTAGACAGATAGACAAATAGACAGACAGATACACAAACAGATGGACAGACAGACACAGACATGTTTATATGTAACAGTGAAAATAAACAAACCCAAGGCAGTGCACGATCATCAAGTGTCACTCTAACATGTCTAAAACATTGCTGGGACCTATAAATACTTTGTGGACATGACCAACTATAAGACTTATTATTCCTTCTTTCGTCACTTATGAGAGAAAACAGATCTATCACGAGGGCAAACTGTAATAGATGCTCATAACTGAAAAAAAAGGGATTTTTTTCGAGAAAAAATTTTCCCGAGTACTCGGGTATGCACGTGCTTTCGGCTATTATCTCGGAAGTAAGTTATTTCCCTATTTTGTGAAAACCAATTAAGATTAAGCTTTAATTTTTTACGTATCCCTATCGGCAATTTTCTAGGTTTGACTTACGTCCATTTTGACTTACAACCGGTTGGTTGGAACCAAGCTCGGTCGTAAGTCGGATGGTACCTGTACTTTGTTTCATTCTCTCTAAAGGATCAAACCACCTCAACAGCCCCTCTTCAGCCCTCTGACTAATACTTTTAGTAACTCCACACCACCTAATTTCCACACTACAAATTCTCTGCATAATATTTACACCACACATTGCCCTTAGACAGGACATCTCCACTGCCTCCTCACTGCAGCAATTACAACCCATGCTTCACGCCCATATAAGAGTAATAAAATACAGAGATATGGTTTCTGAAACAAAATGAACCCTAATCTAAAGTGGAATTTATTTGGTAGACATAATTTTGTATTATTTGTGTTTTCTACATTTGCAAGACCTCTAGGATCATATCCTTCCAATGAATTTAGAGGGATGACTGTACAGTTTACATCAGTGTATGGTATTCTTTGTCACTCATACTCATGAAGCTGGTATCTTTTCAGGAGTGTTTCTTCAAGTAGTGGGAGGGGGAAGGGAGGGAAGGGGTGGGTGCATTAATTAATGCTGGTGAAGGACTTGAAAAATTGAGATGCCTTTCCCTTTTCTTGAATCAAAGATGATCAGGTACCTCCCATTCCCCAAGTGTTGTATGACCCTTACAGGTTTAGCAGCTGTAGGTTGTCACATTACTTTTGAATGTTCAGAAGGGCTATAAAAGTCTTGTATGACTAAGGTCTGTTATGGGTTAAACTACTTCCAAATATTCTGATGTGCAGACAGAGTTTAAAGAGAGAACTTTTTCATGGGCATAGCATATTATTTTGTTTTAAGCTGTTAGATCTTTTTGCTACTTTTACAAGGGAGAGTACCACCTTGTGTAGCTCTGAAGTAATATTAATGGCAACAACCTCTGATTCAACAGATTTTGGAGGTTCGCAGTGGCACTTCCTCATCCAACTCTAGTGACTGGGACACTCGGTCGTCAGCAGAGAGCAGTGATGAACAAGGCACACCAAAGCTCAGAAACAAAGGTAAGAGATATTTGTTCTTTTCAATACATTGGCCGTCTCCCACTGAGGCAGGGTGACCCAAAATAAAAAAACACTTTCATTGTCATTCACACATGATCAGTGTCTTTGCAGTGGTGCCCAGATACAACAGTTTAGATATCAATACAAACAGTCAATATCTTAAACCCCCTCCTTTAAAGTGCAGGCATTGTACTTCCCACTTCCAGAACTCAAGTCCGACTAACCGGTTTCCCCAAATCCCTTCACAAAATATTACCCTGCTCACACTCCAACAGTTCATTAGGTCCCAAAAGCCATTCGTCTCCATTCACTCATATCTAACACACTCACATAGGGAAGTGGAGAAGAATCCTTCATAAACCATGCATGTCGTAAGAGGCAACTAAAATGCTAGGAGCAGTGGACTAGTAACCCCTTCTATACAAATTACTAAATGTAAAAAGAGGGAAAACTTTTGTATGTACAGTAAACCCTCATATTACACGGATTTATTTGGCACATTTTGGTTATTACACTGTTGAAAAATTGCGCCATAATTTTATACAACATTTTGTAAAACTAACTTAACACAGTTCAGTTTGCGGGAGGGGAAAAAATTTGGAGCGTCATATGCAGAATATTTCCCTAGCTCAGGCCACTGTCTGGCTGTGAGTGAGACCACCGTCTCAATGGAGCTGCACTGGGCTTCAAGGCAGCAAAGGATCGCTTCACCTTGTTCCTTTGCGGTAATGCGTTAGGTGATTTCAAGTGTAAGCCCATGGTTATTTACTACTCTAAGAATCCTCTTGCTTTGAAAGGTGTAGATAAAAACACCTTACCAGTAATTTGGAGGTCAAACCAGTCAGCATGGATGACAGAGGAAATATTTATTGATTGGTTTATGCATCACTTTATTCCTGAAGTCAAGTTTTACCTGCACAGCAAGAACTTTGCATTCAAGGCTCTCTTCATTCTTGATAATTCCCATACTCGTCCACAAGCTTTGATGGAAGTGATCCCACATGTAAAAGTTGTATTTTTACCTCCAAATACAACATCTTTGATACAACTAATGGATCATGGAGTTAAGTTATTCAAGTGTAATTACACAAAAATAATGAAAAAACTAGTTGCATCAGTGGACCCAGACTCCAACCTGGCAGTACCAAACTTATGGAATAATGTACTGCAGGGTAAAAGAAGCCAGAGATCCATTACAGAATTTATGTACACTCCAGTACAACCATTGACTTTAGTCCCAGAATTTCCCAACCCAAACCATTTCTGCCGAAAACCCAAACAATATCCCCTCCTCAATGGGGGCCACTTATGTTTTTTTCCCCCCTTTTCTTCACCATCACTGGCATACCCCTTTTTGTAGTTTTAAACAAAAAAAAACATTATCATTTTTTTTTTTGGTAAGATCTGGATGTTTTAAAAAAAAGTTTTTTGGGTTTTGGGGGGGCCCCCCTGGAATTTTAATCCTTTTTTTCCCATAAGTTCTTCAGTTTATATAACCAGATTTACCCTAACTCGGCTTTTTTCAGGAACATAATTTACCTTTTAAATATGGGGTCAAATTATGTATCTCCCTCCCCCCTCTGTTTCCCCCCCTTTTTTCCCTCTCTTCCCTTTTTTCCCCTCTTTCCCCCCTCACTTTTTCCCTCCTCTTTTAAATTAAAAATATTTTAAGCCCTGTCTATTTTAAATGGAGTGTTTGGTGGAGGGTGTGTTTGGGAGGGGGAGGGGGAAGGGGGAAAGGCTTTCCCGAGGCGGGGGGGAAAATGTTCGTTTACCAGATACGGCGGCGGAAGACTTGCAACGGAAAGGGTTTATACAGGGGCCCCCCCCAACCTTACGATTTTAATCCGGTCCGGGGGAGCTCATCGTAAGCCGAAATTATCGTTACCCAAAATTTAAATTTTCCCCCTAAGAAAAATGGAAATCAAATTAAAACCGTTCCTGACCCCCAAAGTATGAAAAAAAAAAATTTTTTTTTCCCCGTGGGAAAAAATTTTTTTTTTAAAAAACACCAAATGAAGAAGAAAATGCGCCCAATTTTTACTCTTCTAAGAAAAAAATACATGAAACTTACCTTTAAATTTAAGTCTGGGGATGAAATTTATGGGATTTGGGAAAAGGGGGGAGTGTGGAAGTTATTGTTTTTGGGAAGGGGGAAACCCCTTCCTTAGGGCTTTAGGGAGCAAGTCTTTTCCGGGGTTTTTTCCCTTCTTCTTTTAAAAGCCCCCTAGGACCAGCTTTAGAGCACTGGACCTCTTCGACAAAAAAATCCCCCCTCCATTGAGCTCTGTACCTCCCTTCCTTTAAGGGCTTTCCAAAAAGGGCCCCTAAAATTGTCATTGTAAAGGGTTTCCAAAACGGCTTGCCCGTAGCTGTGTCCGGGGGATTTTTTATCCATAAAAAGGGTTTTCAGTTGGGAAATCACTTTTCCCCACTTTTTCCTTTTAAACTCTTTTTTCAAATTTCCCTTCTAAAATTTTTGCCCTTTTTACCAAAAAGAAAAACTTTCTTGGGGTCCATTGTGACTTATTTTGCAGTTACAAACACTAAAAACACTGGGATAATGTGAAATATACCGAATGTATGCGTAGATGCAACCACACTGGCTGGCTTGTGAACACTGGCACTGAGGCCACATGTGGAACGCGTCCCGGACGAATCACGTAAGGCGAGTTTTTTATCGTGAGGCGAGGCAAAATTTTTGCGTTCAAATGCTTCGTATGGCGGATTTATACGTCTTATGAGCCACAGTGTTTGATGTTCATATATATACTCAAAAATTCTAGTGGCTTCATATCAAGCAGGAGAAAGCTGGTAGGCCCACATGTGAGAGAATGGGTCTGTGTGGTCAGTGTGCACCATATAAAAAAAATCCTGCAGCATGCAGTGCATAATGAATAAAAAACTCCGACTGTGTTTTTGGATTAAAATGCCGAATTTGCGGTGTATTTTCGTATAGTATTTATGGTTGTATTCTTGTTTTCTTGGTCTCATTTGATAGAATAGAAAACCTATTATAGAAATAGAGGTGATTTTGAGTGGTTTTACAATGAAAAGAACTTGAAATGGAGCTCAAAGTAGGGGAAATGTTTTATTTTTGCCTATGTTCAAAAGTAAACAAATAATGTCATTGTCCAATAAACGTCCAACTAGCCATTCTAATATGCAGTCATGAATGGGTTGACATTATTTATACAATTATTACAATATTGCAGTAGTCTGCATAACAGTAAATCTCCTATTTTTTGTTTGAATAAAAATTCAAAATAGAAAGCAAGAGTAATATCAGAGGGGCCTGGAGATGTGACTGATGAACAAAGAAAATGTTATTTTAGTACCAGGAATGTCTGCATTGTTCATTCGGGACCCCATTTTGAAATTGGCATATTTTTTAATTTGCGTGAAATTGGCCAAATTGCAAATTTCTGACCACATTATTGGGTAGTTGAAATTGGTAAATGGGCAGTTTCTTGTACTCAATCGATAGAACAAATGGAGTTCTAAAGAAATAGCTATGAGTTTGGTCAACTGGGACAATGGAATTAGCCGAAAATAGGGCTCAAAGTGGGCGAAATCGCAGATTTGTAAACATCACCAAGGTCGCTAAATTTGCGAGAGTGTAATTCTGTAAGTTTTCCATCAAATTTCATTCTTTTGGTGTTATTACCATCGGGAAAAGATTCTCTATCATTTCACGAGAATTTTTTATTTTTTTTTTCCCCTCGACACCAGGAGACACCTCAGGATTTAGGGTTGCGGCAGTCAAAGGGTTAAATCAACAGTCAAACCTCGGTTTTTGTATGCCCTAGTTTTCATACGATTTGGTTTTTGACGACTTTTTTCGTCAAAATTTTGTCCCAGTTTTCATACACCTGCTCGGTTTTCATACAGTTGAAAGTGGTCCTTACCAAACTTGTTCGCCTGCCCATGACTTGGCCACTCATTTCCCAAAATCAAGCACTCACAGAAAGCATCCCATGCGTTAGTGACTCAATCTGCCTTTGTTTCTCGTTGAGTGAGCATCACCCCGTGCGTTCATCCAAAATATTTCGTAATAATCCATTGTTTTTTGTGCTTGTTTATTGAGTGCGACTGCTAAATAAGCCACCATGAGGCCAAAGGAGGAGGAGGAGGAGGAGGAGGATGAAGAGAGAGGGGAGAATGTGCCTTCTTCAGTGATTAAGGACATGTGTGTAAAGTGGAATGAGTTGCAAAGTTTTGTGGAGAAATGTCACCCTAACAAAGCTGTTGCAAGCCGTGTCTGCAACATGTTCATTGACAATGCCTTTCCCATTTTAGACAAATCTTAAAGAGATGCCAAAAACAGACCTTTCTGGACAGATTTTTTGTGTAATGGTCCGTGACTCTCAAACTGGTCCCATGCCATAAAAGACAAAGAAAGGGGGGTAACCCAGGGGGGCCTGTTTCCGAACCTTATGGCGGGGGTTCCCCTTCCAAAAAATAAAAATTTCCCCCCCCTTTTCCCTTCCTTACCATCTTCCATACCCAACAAGAGTCTGCAATTTTTGGTAAAAATTTATGTTAAAGTTTAAAATTTTTCCATTTTATTAGTCATTTTTTATTTTTTTCTAATTTTTTTTTTTTATATAAAATATGTTATTCTCATAAAATGTATTTTTTGTTTAAATTTTTTTGGGTATTGGAAAAGAAAAAATTTGGGTTTATATTATTTCTTATGGGGAAAATTGCTTCTTTTCTTTGATTGGTTTTTGTGAGACTTTTTTTTTAACGGATTAATCACGAAAACGAGGTTTCACTGTACAATTCTTTTTAACAGTTCTGGCTGGCTGACCAGTGTTCTTTCCTTTCCCCGCCTCCTGTTCCACTTATAGAAAACAAAACTCTGTGTCTCAGAGAACATAAATTTTCCCGTTGGACCCAAATCCTCTTCCCCCACAATAAAAGTGGATGGGTTTTTGGATGAAGCCTGGACCAAACAGACTTGCTGCTAAGCAGAGTTGGTTATTTTATCGAGTTTT